CTGCCTCCCCGCAGGGGTCCCGGGTCGGTGCAAGGGAGAGATGCAGGAGCACAGTGGGTGTGCCAGCCCTGGGCTGGATCCTCACTACGTGCTTGGAGCCCCACTGTGTGCCCCAAGTATTCAGGTCAGGCTGCCGGGAGCTGGCGCCACCTGCTGGTGGCTGTCACTGCCCTGCAGGAGACAGAGGCACCCTGAGCTGCACCGGGGGTGGTTGGGGGGGCAGTCTGCTCTCCGGAGTCACAACCTCTTTACCTGGCGATGAAACCACGGAGGGCCCTCGCCCCTTGGGCTGAGAGTGACCAAGAAGGCGACCTCTGCCCGTGGTACCTGTGGGGGTCGGTTAGGAAGGTGGTCCAGACATCACGGGGAATTGTGGAAACACCCGGGCCAAGTTCGGTTCATCAGGAGACAGGCTGATGAGCGTCTAGAAACCCGATGTGGTTCGCGTGAAACGAAAGGAAGCCGCAGTGCCGGGGACGGCACCTGCAGGCCTGGGCTGGCACAGGGGGCGGCGGCATCGTTTCGCTTTTCCCATCAAATCCTCCCATGCTGAGTCTGGGACGAAACCCTCTCACTATTAAGACTTCAATGCCGGGGGCCGGTGCAGTGGCACAGAGGGTAAGGCCTCAGCCTGCAGTGCTGACAGCCCACATGGGCGCTGGTCCGGGTCCAGCTGCTCCTCTTCCAAACCAGCTCCCCGCTAGGGTGCCCGGGGAAGCAGCAGAGGACGGCCCCAGCGCTTGCTTCCCTGCACCCACGCAGGAGGGAGGCTGCTGTCACTGCTGTCTCGGGGTGTGCGTCCCCGGGGGGTACGACAGAGTGGAGCAGCACTCGGTGTACACGCTCAGCTGTGCTCCAGACACCACTGGAAGCCCCCTGAGGAAAGGCGAAATCAGATCCAGGCCTTGCAGGCTGGCATGGCACAGCGGGTTAGGCCACCACCTGGGATGCCGGCTTCCCATATCAGAGTGCTGGCGCAAGTTCTGGTTCAAGTTCCGGGAAAAGCAAGTACCTGCCGCCCACGTGGGAAACCCAGATGAGGTTCCAGGCTGCTGGCTTCAGCCTGGCCCAGCCCTGGCTGCTGCCACCATCTGGGAGTGAACCAGAGGGTGGAAGACTGGACCTCCCTCCCTCCCTCCCTTTCTCCCTCCCTCCCTCCCTCTCTCTCTCTCTGTCACTCCGCCTCTCAAATAAACCAAAATAAATCTTATAAAACCTACGCCTCATCAGACACACTGGGGTACACTCCGAGTGGAGGAAGGGAAACAAGTAAAAACATCAACACAGAACCGGCAGGACTGACCGGAGTCAGAATTCTTTCACGACTCCGAGTCGGAGAAGGCATTTCCACCAAGCAAAATCCAGCATCGACAAAGGGAAAACCGCCAAGCTGACCGTGTCCACAGTTTTAAACATCAGCAAAAATGCACAAAATCCCCAGGAACACAGGCGGAAGTCCCAAGTCTTCCTGACCCCAGAAAACTAAACCAACAAACAAAACCCCAATCCTGCACCTTTATCCTGAGCGATCTCGCGAGGTAGGAACGTGCGGGATCTGCGAGGACCAGGATGCACCCGCACAAGTGCCCCGGTCCACCCTGTGAAGACCACGAATCACCCAGCACAGAAGGAGGGGAGACGGACCCCGCTCCCTCTGGCCCCCACCTCCACAGGGCCTGCCCTGGGGAATCTGCCCTCCACCTGCCCCTCCCCGCTCCTGGGTCCGGGGCACAGGGAGCTGCAGCCACTGGGCAGACACAGGCTCTGGGTAGAGTGGCCAGGCCTGCCCTGCTTGGGCCTGGGGCTCACAAGCTCCTCCTGGCTACCCTTCTGGGGGCTTCTATCACGTCCTTACTTAGTGCCTGTCGCCGCTCAGGGACCTCTGCGGCAGGGCTGGCTGTTCCGTGTCGGGCAGACACACACCCCTGGGAGAGGCGGCTCTGCGGGGCCCCCGGCAGGGCAGCAGAGTTATCAGCTAATCTTCAGGGAAGGACACGTGACCCTCAGAAAGCTGCAAAGTAAGCCCAACTCCACCGCTGGGGAACAGATCCATGCAGAGGGCGGGGCGGGGCCAGGCGGGCCAATGGGTGCAGCGGAGCACCAGGGACCAGGGAGTAAGCGCAGGGGCCCGGCCACGTGGTCCCTGTGACACGGGGCCCTGTGGAGCCCTCACACCCTGCACATGCCAACCTCAGCCTCTGGGCAGCATTATCTGCAAACGCCTGGCCCTGCGGTGTGGATGACGTGTGTCAGTCAGGCATCGGGACCTGTGTCCTGCAGCAGGGTCGTCTGCCCTTCATCTCACAGCCCTGCAACTCTGTGTGAGGGGCCAGCGCTGTGGCTTAGCGGGTGAGGCGCCTGCTATGGGCACCGGTTCTAGTCCTGGCTGCTCCACTTCCAATCCAGCTCCCTGTTGGTGCACTTGGGAAAGCAGTGGTGGATGGCCCAGGTGCTTGGACCCCTGCACCCACGGGGGAGACCCGGAAGAAGCTCCTGGCTCCTGGCTTTGGATGGGCTCAGCTCCTGTCACTGGGGCTGTTTGGGGAGTGAACCAAAGAACAGGGGATCTTTTTCTCCCTCCATGGCTCTTCCTTTCAAATAAATAAATCAATTCAAATAAAGAAACATTGTGTGTGACACTAAGAAACACGCCTCCCTGGGAACCAGCCCACATCTCCTTTTCCTTCTGCAGCTCCTGCCCCGCGTGTGCATTCTGGATCGTTTGCTCACTGTCTCCTAATTGAAACGCCCCTCAAAGCCATGCTACTCAATGTGTGATGTGGGGACCAGCAGCCGCAGGTCAGAAGCACAGACTCTCAGGCACCCCCAGACCGGAGTCGGCATCCCCTGGCCTCACGGCACAGCAAGAGCCCTGGTGAGAAAGACAACGTGACTCTCACAAATCCACAGTCAACGCCCCATCGACAAACGAACGCAAACCACATGCAAGGACACCTTTGCACGGCGAGCCCTGGGGCGCAGAATACCCGCACGGGCAGCAGAGCCCCAACAGATGCTGCACGCACCCCAAGGGGGCCCTGGCTGGCGGGGCGAGGCGTGAGTCTCCGGCTCCCACGCTCTCAGATTTGCAGGCTCATGGAGAGTGCTAGCGACCTCCGCAGAGTCACAGACCACAAGGCACTGCACCGGGCAGCGGGCTTCAGGGCTGTGTTTTCAACCCTTGCACTGGCTCACGTGCCTGCGGCACGCACCTGCACTGGGGAAATGAGACCGTGGGCTCTGGCCGCTCAGGGCCGTCCTCCCTTGCTAACTGTCCCTGGAAACCTGACCGTGTCCCTCCTGCTCTGGCGGGTGCTCCGTGTCCTGCTGGGGACCTCCTCCTTCAGAACGGCGGGGGAAGGGGCGCTCACATGCCCAGGCACCCGGCCACTCTCAGGCAGTACAGCTTTGAAGCCGACCGAAACAGAACCCAGCCGGGCTCCCCGCCCACACCGCGTCCCAAGGCAAACAGGCAGGCACCCCGACACAAATGAGCGAGGCTGTGGGGTGCACCATCCCATCTGAACTGCTGGGTTCTGTTTGTTTGATTTTTTGTTTTTTAACTGAATGGTGATTTTCTGCCCAGGTTGAGCATCCCAGGGGCTGCAGAGCCCAGACGGGGAGGTCCCCGCAAAGGCCACGGAGGCTGAAGCCACAGAGTCGCTCCCCATGGGAAGCGCAACCTTGGTGTAAATGGCACCGAGCTGTGTTCCTCTGGCTAAGATGCTCCACACCCTTCAGTGCCCCTCATCCCGCCCCTCGAGACTCAGCCAGCAGGGCCCTGTCCACTAACCCTCACCTTGTAGGAAAGGACGAGCCCCACGCCCACCCTTGGGAAGTCAACACAGACCACCTAAGAGCCGCAGGGCCGGAGCAGGATGTGGTGATATGCAAGGCAGGAGAGGCTCCTACCTAGGACAGCAGAGCCAGCATCGCAGCCCAGACTCCCAGAGTCCTCCTGGGCCCAGCCCAGGCTCCTACCTAGGACAGTAGAGCTAACATCACAGCCCAGACTCCCAGAGTCCACCTGGGCCCAGCCTGGGCTCCTACCTAGGACAGCAGAGCCTGCATCACAGCCCAGACTCCCAGAGTCCACCTGGGCCCAGCCCAGGCTCCTACCAGGGACAGCAGAGCCAGTAACACAGCCCAGACTCCCAGAGTCCACCTGGGCCCAGCCTGGGCTCCTACCTAGGACAGCAGAGCCTGCATCACAGCCCAGACTCCCAGAGTCCACCTGGGCCCAGCCCAGGCTCCTACCAGGGACAGCAGAGCCAGTAACACAGCCCAGACTCCCAGAGTCCTCCTGGGCCCAGCCCAGGCTCCTACCTAGGATTACAGAGCCAGTAACACAGCCCAGACCCCCAGAGTCCACCTGGGCCCAGCCGGGGCTCCTACCTAGGACAGCAGAGCCAGTAACACAGCCCAGACCCCCAGAGTCCACCTGGGCCCAGCCCGGGCTCCTACCTAGGACAGCAGAGCCAGTAACACAGCCCAGACCCCCAGAGTCCTCCTGGGCCCAGCCTGGGCTCCTACCTAGGACAGCAGAGCCTGCATCACAGCCCAGACCCCCAGAGTCCACCTGGGCCCAGCCGGGGCTCCTACCTAGGACAGCAGAGCCAACATCACAGCCCAGACTCCCAGAGTCCACCTGGCCCAGCATAGAGCAGAGGCAACATTACAGCCCAGACCCCCAGAGTCCTCCTGGGCCCAGCCTGGGCTCCTACCTAGGACAGCAGAGCCTGCATCACAGCCCAGACCCCCAGAGTCCTCCTGGGCCCAGCCCGGGCTCCTACCTAGGACAGCAGAGCCTGCATCACAGCCCAGACCCCCAGAGTCCACCTGGGCCCAGCCGGGGCTCCTACCTAGGACAGCAGAGCCTGCATCACAGCCCAGACCCCCAGAGTCCTCCTGGGCCCAGCCTGGGCTCCTACCTAGGACAGCAGAGCCTGCATCACAGCCCAGACTCCCAGAGTCCACCTGGGCCCAGCCTGGGCGCCTACCTTGCACTGCCCAGACACGCAGATGGCCGTGCCGTGCTGGTCACAGGGGGTGCCATCGATGACCTTCTCGGCTTGCCGGACGTAGAAGCGGTAGCCGATGGCCTGGCAGTTGAGCTCACACTTGCGGTCGCCCTTTGCTGCGGGGAGAAGAAACGGCCGTGAGGTCTGAGTGACACCCAGCCCCTATTTTTCAGAGATACAGTTCATGCAATGCAACGTGAACCACTCCAGCCGGCGTGCAGACGTGGTGAGCCACTGAACTCACACGGCTGCAGCCTGCTCAACGCCCCCCTCTGCTCCCGCCTGCCTTCTGCCTCTCTGGATCAGCCCGTTCTGGACAGCTCATGGCCAAACGCCTCTTGGAAGTGGCTCTCTGCACTGGTGAGGGGCTGGGGGGAGTGGGGGCTGCATCCTCACCTCCTGTCACACAGAGAACTTCATGGAAGGACCCAGGGAGACCACCCCACCCCCGCTTTTTTTAAGATTTATTTATTTGAGGGCCAGTGCCGTGGCTCACTTGGTTAATCCTCCGCCTGCGGTGCCGGCATCCTATATGGGCCCGATTCGAGTCCCGGTTGCTCCTCTTCCAGTCCAGCTCTCTGCGGTGGCCCAGGAGGGCAGTGGAGGATGGCCCAGGTGCTTGGGCCCCTTCACCCACATGGGAGACCAGGAGGAGGCACCTGGCTCCTGGCTTCAGATCAGCGCAGAGTGCCAGCTGTAGCGGCCATTTGGGGATGAACCAATGGAAGGAAGACCTTTCTCTCTGTCTCTCTCTCACTATCTAACTCTACTTGTCAAATAAAAAAAAGAATTTATGGTTCCAAAAAAAAGATTTATTTATATGAAAGGCAGAGTTACAGAGAGAGAGACAGGGAGATCTTCCACCTGCTGGCTCACTCCCCAAATACCCAGAGATGGGCCAGGCTGAACCAGGAGCCTAGAACTCGGCCTGGGTCTCCCACATGGGTGGCAGGAGCCCAGGCCCTTGGCCCATCATCCGCTGCTTTCCCAGGTGCATTAGCTGGGAGCTGGATCGGAAGCAGAACAGACAAGACTCAAACTGCTGCTCATACAGCATGCTGGCGTCCCAGGTGGCGGCTTAACCTGCTGAGCCTCAATGCTGGCCCCATTCTGTGGTTTTCAGAGACACAGAAACCCATGTCCTATCACCAACATGCTCTTTGAAATGACCGCTGCTTCCTGCAATAATTCGTCTATTATGAGACAGTTAAGTGGCTTTTCCCACCACTTTAGGCACGACACAGCTTTCAAGAGCCTCGCCTATCTTTATGGTCTCTCTTCCCACCGTCCACGCCCAACTCCCACAGGTGCTTCCTCTGTGCAGCCCACCTGCCCTTCCCTCAGTTGGCTGGCCCTCAATTCTCTGCTTCTGTCACAAGGTCACCTTCGGAGGGTCCCAATCCCACCGCCCACCCTCTCTTGCAGCATTCACCTGCTCACTTACTTGCCTGCACAGAGCCAGGCGCACGGCAACTGCCCAATAAACCCAAGAGGGCACGACGGAAGGGAGACAAGTGAACACACGACGGAAGGGAGACAGTGAACACTGGCCTCTTTCTGGCCTCCCCCCCCCCCCCCCGCCTCCTCTGGGCCCATTCCCCTGCCTCCGGCTTCCTCTGGGTTTCATCACTTTAGGCAGAGCTGGCACGAATGCTAAGTTAATCGCAGCTTCAGAGCAGCATAGCCACCTCCGAAGTAAGGCAGAGCCATTTTCAAGCAAGATGCACTGCATTGCCACGCCCAAAGGGAAAGGCGAGCCAAGTGCATACTGATTTGTTTGTTCTTTAACTGGTTTTGGACACGAGAGCAATGTCTGCTCAGCAGAGACCAACGCCGGGGCCCGTCTCTGTCTAAGACACAGATCACTGGACCACACGGCACGTCCCACTTTCCCGGGTGTGGCTGCCGGCCGGCCTGCCTGTCACAGCAATGCACTTCCTGTGGCTCCTAAGCCACTACGAAGGGCTTCCAGGAAACAGCGAGGACCCTAGGCAATGGTGACCCCTCCCCTGTGCTCTGTCTCAGCACTCAGGGGTCCCGGCCACCCCACAGAAGAGGTGACTGTGGATGAAAATGAAACAGCAACAGGACGGAAGCCTCTCTGGAGATCAGCCCCCACCAAGTCAGTTTCCAGGCTTCACAGTCCCAGCAGGACAGAAGTGACCGGGGCAGGCTCTAGCCTACTGATGGCTTCTCACTGCACCTGCCAAGGCCCCAACCCCTCTGTTCCCAGCTCCGGGCTCTCTGAAGGGCTCCAGGCACTCGGCAGGTGCGAGGCAGCTATGGAAGACAAGTGTCCGTGGCAGGCACCTCCCAGGACCCCCAGGGCCTGGCTCTCTCCACGGACCCCTGCCTCCAGTGGGGTGGGGGTGGAGCACTGTCTTTGTCACAGTGCGGGCACCCTGAGAGGGTGCAGGGGAGGAGGCCGGACACCAGGCTGCTCCGCAGTCTCCCGTGGGCTGCACGTGAACAGCCCGAGGGTGGTCCTGAGTTCCCTCTCGGTGGCCTGCCTGTGCGGCGCTCCTGCCTTTGCACACCTGAGGCCAGGTGAGGCTGCCCACCTGCAGGGACAGAGCCCCAGAGAACGCTACCCCTCCAGAACTCCCCAGCCTCGGCGCCAACGCAGTGGATGATGGGGAATGTGGGGGAAGGGAGCAAAGGGCTGAAGGGGGTGCACTGGGGGGCAGGGGGAGCATGATGGGGGGAGAGGGCATGGTGTAAGACAGCATGGAGGGGAGGGGCATGGGGGGCTTTCTCCGCCCTGAGTCCCCCTGGTGGGCAGAGGGAGAGGGGGACGGACCCCTGCACGGGTGCTCAGGGAGGCCCCGGGCCCTCAGCACCTCCTGGGATTGCCATAAGCTCAGACCTCCTGAACAGGAGGAGCCACGGTGTGTCCCGTCTTCCAAGCAGCCCTGTTCTAGAGAAGGGGAGCCAGCGCGGGCTGGGAGCGTGGGACTAACTCTTAGCGTGAACGCAGGTGCCGGGGCAGGCGTCGGGGCAGCCACAAAGATCCCGCTCGGGACGTCCGCACCCCTGCTCAGAGCGCTGGGGTGGGGGCAGGCCTCCGTGCCCAATTCTAGCTTCCAGCTAATGCGCCCCACAGGCAGTGAGGGCCCCTGCCACCCACGCGGGAGGCCTGGCTGGAGCTCCTGGCTCCTGGCTTCCGCCCATTTGGGGAATGAACTAGCGGACGCCTGGTCTATCCTTCTTTTCTCTGCCTTTCAAATACATAAATTTTAAATACTGGATAAACAGTCAACTAAACCCAAAGCCAACAGCAAAACAAAAAGCAAGCTGGAAATAAGTAGAGAATAGACAGAGAACACAGAAAACCAATGAAACCACAAGTTGGTTATTTGAAAAGACCAACAAGACGGATGAACTGTCAAGGCCCGTTTGGGTACTTAGAACACCACGGGCAGATCGTGCACCTAAACATAGCCTGCTACGGGCTCACTGATCATCCAGTCCTGCCCCCGGCTGCCGTGCAGGGCTGGATAGAATGATTTCCAGGCCGTAATCAGCCGTCCGTCCCTCACCCCTGCTGGATCGACTGGTCATGAATACAAGAAAACAGACTCAAAGACCTGAAATCCAGGAATGAAGAGGGGGCATATGCTGAATTTTACAGAAATAAAAGACTTGTACCCAGCACAAGAAGGCCAGGAAAAACAAACAGGTCCAGAGTGAAAAAGACTTTTAAGACCTGCATTTGGGGCTGGCGCTGTGGTGTAGCGGGTAAAGCCACCGCCTGAAGCGCCAGCATCCCATATGGGTGCTGGTTCGAGTCCCGGCTGCTCCTCTTCCCATCCAGCTCCCTGCTGTGGCCTGGGAAAGCAGTGGAAGATGGCCTAAGTCCTGGGGCCTCTGCACCCACGTGGGAGTCCTGAAGGAAGCTCCTGGCTCCTGGCTTCAGATCAGAGTCGCTCCAGCAGGTGGAGCCAACTGAGGAGTGAACCAGCGGATGGAAGACCTCTCTCTCTGTCTCTCCTTCTCTCTCTGTGTAACTCTTTCAAATAAATAAATAAAACTAAAAAAAAAAAAAAGACCTGCATTTGCACATAAGCGCTTATATCTATAAAATCCAAATTTACGTTCCAAGAAATATGTGAAGTAATAAGGATATGAGATCAATAGGCAAAAATCCATTATATGTCCATTCACTATCAATAATCTAAAAATGAAATTAAAACAATTCCATTTATAATATAATCAAAAATAATGAAATACATACAAATAAATTTAACAACGGATTTCTACGTTGAAACTATAAAATGTGGTTTGAAAGAAATTCAGGAAGATTTAAACGAAAGGAAGGGATTCCATACTCATGCACTTGGATATTTGAGGTCAGGCTGGTAAACTCCCCAAATTGATATACACATTAGACATAATCCTAATGAAAATGCCAGACAGAAATTGCCAAGCTGAACTTAAAATTCATAGGGATATGCAAGGGACTAAGAGTGTCCCAAACAACTGTGAAAGAGAAAAACAAAATGAGGCGGCTCACTCCTCCTGATTTAAAACTGACTACAAAATCACAGCCTGTGTGGTGTTACATTAGGCTAGACACAGAGACCAGGGGAGTAGAACTGGAAGTGCAGAAATAAATCCCTACTTTTATGACAGACAATTTCATTACAGAAAGACTGATCTTGGGGCTGGCATTGTGGCCTAGCAGGTAAACCTGCTGCACTTGACACCAGCATCCCAAAGGGGCACTGGTCCGTGCCCTATTTTCTCCACATCCAAGTGAGCTCCCTGCTAATGAGCTGGGCAAAGCAGTGGAGGATGGCCCAAGTGCCTGGGCCCCTGCCACCCATGTGGGGGACCCAGAAGCCCCTGACCCCCAGCCCTGGCCATTGCAGCCACTTTGGGAATGAACCAGTGGGTAGAAGACCTCTCTCCCTCTCTCCCTGTAACTCTTTCAAATTAATAAATCTTTAAAAACAAAAAAAGAGCAGTCTGCAACAAGTTAACCTATGCAAACGAATGTCCCCTACCTCACGCCATAGACAAAATACCCCCATCAGAATGGATCAGCCTAAATATAAGAACCAAGACCATGAAATTCTTAGAACATGTCAGCGCAAATCTCACGATCTTAGGTTTGCAACAGTTTCTTAGATGCTAAGACGTCAAAAGCATGAGAACAGAGAAACTGTATTTCACCACAGTACTCCGCTGAAGACAGCTCAGAATGGGGCAAGATTTTTGTACAAATATACACTAGATAAAGGACTTGTAACCAGAATTACAAAGAACTCATATGACTCAACATTAAAACATAACTCGATTTCTTAAATGGGCAAAGGGTTTGGACGGATATTTCTCCAAGAGATACCCAAGCAGCCACTAAGCAGAGGAGAAGCTGCCAGGGAAATGCAACTAAGTCCACAGGGAGAAGCCACTAGGACGGCTGTCCTGAGAAGATGAAGACAACAATACTGGTGAGGACGTAGAGAAACCAAACTCCGTGGTGTGCTGACAGGACAGGCTCTTTGGAAAACACTGGATAATTCCTGAAAATATTCATTAAAAACAGAACAGCCCTACAATTCCACTTCTAGTACATCCGCTGGAACCAAGGCTGCACATGTCTACACAGAACCTGTATTAATGGAGTATTAATAGCAGAGGTATTCATGACAGCTAGGACGTGTCCCTGGGCTGACGCATGGACAAACGACCATGACATATCCACATGAGGGGACGCCGCTGGCCAGTGGAGAGACTGGATACTGACACCTGCTGTGGCGCGGATGTGTGAGGAGAGCACCACGCCCAGCGAGGGAAGCCGGCCTCAGAGGCACAGATCCTGTAACTCCTTTTATAGGAACTTCCCAAAGAGGCCAGCCCATGCAGAGAGAGAGTGCAGCCTGCAGGGGCCGCGGGGTGGGGTGGGTGGGGTGGTGGTGAGCCCACCCGGGGACATGGGCTTTCTCTGAAATGGCACAGTGGCAACGACCACAGGACTGTGAACACACCCAAAACCGTGCAAGCGGTGGAGTTTTTCTCGGGAACTCTCCTACAACAGGAGTCCCGACAGGACAG